AGTTACCCCAGCCCACCCGCTGCCCGCTGCTCTCCCCTCAGGTTCTGGATGTGGGCAGCCAGAACTGCGAGCCCGACATCAGCGGCCTGGCCTTCTCCCCCTCTGGGCGACGCCTCTACGTGGGCACGGAGGGCGGCATCGCGGGTGCGCACCCGCAGCTGCCGCCGCCGCCCGCCTTTGCCCCATGCCGGCTGCTGCCTCGAGCTCGCGGGTCCCTCTGGGGACACCGCCACCTCTGACCTCTGCCCTGCCCTGCCCCGCCCCGCCCCCTCGCGATGCTGCAGCGTACAATGTGGACACGACGAGCAGGCGCGGCTTCCCCGCCTTTGAGCTGTGCTGACGCCGCGGCGCTTGCCAGCAGGCCCACTCGGCGGCCCCGGTCGCGAGAGCGGCTGGCTGGCTGGCTGGCTGCAGCACCCGCAGCATGGCTGCCCGCCGGGAGCGCCCGCCCGCCGGGCATACGTCATACAACTCGCGCGGGCCGCGCTCGCTGCGCTCCCACTCCTCTTTCGGTTTTGTGTGTACCTCCTGTGCCTACCTTTCCCCTCCCTGTCCTGTACGCGTCTGCCCGCTCCTGCCAGCAGGGCGGCAGGGCTGTGTCATGTTATCCCCCATCAGTTGTTGGCCCCATTCATTAGCGAAAGCCCCCGCTTTTTTTCAGTCCCCGCTGACCAGTTTTGCTTCCCGTTTTTGTCTTTGCTTGCCATCTCTCCCTGCCACTGGCACACCTGCTGCCCCCTTGATGCTGCCCGCTGCACCCCCACTGCACAGCCAACCCGTTCCGCATCCTGTCCTGCTCTCATCCCATGCACTGCTCACGCCGTGGGCAGCTGCAGATGCAGCTGCTCCCCAGGCCCCACACATGCTTTGGTCCTGCAACATGCCCTCGCCATGCAACGTGCCCTTGCATGCCAGCCTTTGTGTGCTGCCCGTGTTCCAGCCCCAGACCGGCCCATGCTTTGACCATTGCAATGATGCTTGACACACAACCGAGCACGCCATGGCGGTTACACACGGCAGTGCATGCATATGTCAGTCGTGTCTGTCAGCAACAAACATCAGCAAGAGCAAGCGGCGTGCCACATGGACGGCACTACCACAATGGTGGAGGGTGGGAGCAGCAGGGGGACAAGGTTGCGGAGCAGCAGGGGTGATGGGTCAGGGGGCCAGCCGGCTGGGGTCTGTGCAAGGCGGCACGCGCCGCTTGGTAAGCAGAGGATTCGTGCCTGGGTCCCTGTCAATGGGTAAAGGGTATGGGCGGGCTAATGGCAACATGTGCAGGCTACTGCGTGCCGCCGTCGTCGACGGCAGGGGTGGCCGCCGCCTCCTGCTGCTGCGCCTGCTGCGGCTGCGGCTGCGGCAGCGGCGGCAGCTGCAGCGGCTGCAACACAGGCGTGCCTGCCGGCGCGCCTGCTGCTGCGGGAGCGGCGGCGGCGCCAGCCTGCTGGGGATCCATGGATTTGTAGACCGCTTGGAAGCCCTGCGGCGTCTGCTGCAGGGTCATCGCCATGCCCAGCGCGTTGGCGGTCTGCCCCGCCGCCGCCAGCTGCTGCGCCATCAGCGCGGGGGGCAGCAGCACCAGCTGGGGCTGGCCGGGCATGAACATGCCCGCGCTGCCGGGCTGGCTGGCTTGCGCTGCTGCAGCAGGGGAGAGGGCGGCAGGGCGCAGCTCGGCGACAGGCACAGCCACAGGCCAACGTGCAGGGAGGAGCAGGGCAAGGCACGCCATTGCGGCGCAGCGGAGGGCCGCACAGGGCACCACAGCAGAGCCTGGCGGCCAAGCTGGCTTGCAAGCCGCCTCTGCTCAGGCAGCACGGCCAGCCGGGCACGCCCACCTGGCCTGAGCTGCGGCAGCGGCGCCATGCCCACCACGCTGGGCGTGCCCTGCTGCGATGTGGGCAGCAGCGCCTGCTGCGCCTGTTGCGCCTGCTGCACCTTCTTCTCCACCTTCTCTCCCACCAGACGAGAGATCATCTGCGCTGGCAGCAGGGGAGGAGCGTGGGCGTGGGCACGAGGCCCTTGGGAGGCGCGGCCGCGATGGCCAGGCGGCTAGGGAGGGGCGCGGGGCAGGGCGGCAACAGAGGAGCAGCGGGAGCAGCCAGCCAAGTGAGAGCAGGAAGCCCTGAATCAAGCCCCCGCCACACCCACCCACCCACCCACCTGCATTGTGTCTCTAAACTCTGTGAGCACCAGCCGCTCCTGAGCAGCGTACAGCCCCATCTCCTCGGCCTCCTCCTCGCCCGCGCCGCCGTTTGCAGCGGGTGCCGCCGCGTCCCGCTGCTCCGCCGTCGCGGGCCCAACGACCGCCGCCTCCGCTCCGGTATCCACATCCATGCTTTCCAGCTTCACAAGGGCCGCATCCGCCGCCGGCGCCTGCTCCGCCGGCTCCTCCTTCCCGGCAGCGCCGCCCGCCGCCTCCGCCGCCGCCTGCTGTGCCATGTCCACATCCATGGCGGCGGCCTCATCCTCCCCCGCGCCGCCGCCAGCAGCACCAGCGGGGCTGCTGCCGGGCGATGCAGCCTGTGCGCCTCCTTCTGCCTCCCGCTGGGTCGCCGCCGCTGCTGCCGAGTGGGAGGGCGAGGGCGTGGGCAGCTGCCGCCGCTCGTGCTCCTCCTGGGATACCAGCATCAGCAGCATGGCCAGCTTCTCCACCAGCTCCGGCTTGACCACCTCCCGTACCACCTCCCGCGCCACCTGCTGCTTCTGCTCGGCCGCCAGCGATGCGGGCTGCCCCGCCGCCGCCTGCGCCGCCACCGCCTGCGCCGCCGCGGCCGCCTGCGCCTGCTGCAGCTGCGCCAGGCTGGGCAGGGAGCCGCTTCCTGCTGCAGCGGCAGGCGCGGCCGCGCCCGGCGATGCGAAGCCTGCAAGCGCGCCCGGCAACAAGAGATTCAGCAAAGAGGCAGCGCTGGGACAAACCTTCCTGCCGCAAGCCACCCACCAAGCCGGCCACGAGTGTGACCTCGGGGCAAGGGCCTCCCAGACACGGCAGCCAGCGCAGCCCAACCAACCTGGCCGCGCGCCTGGCCCTGAAGGAGAGATTGTGCGGGATGTGCGGCGCAGCCCCACGGGGGAGCCCTGGCGCTCGCCCTGTAGGCAGCGGCGCAGGTGGCCAGGCATGCCAGCTTGAGCGGCGAGCACCTCGTGACGCCCCCGCGCCGGCACGCTGCATGCATGCCTGCATGCCTGCATGCATCCAGGCAGGCAGCAGCCAAGCAGCCAGGCAGACGCCCGCCCGGGCACAGCAGAGCAAGAAGGCGCGGCAGCGGCCTGTGCGCACGGGTTTCGCACCTGAGGCGACACTAGCGCGTCCCGCGCCTCGCTGCCCTCATAGTTCTTGCAGTCAAGGCACTTGCAGATCTCGCTGCACACGATGCCTGCAGCGGGGGGCAGGCAGCGGGAGCAGTCGGGCAGCAGCACAGCGCGCACAGCAGATGTGCCAGGGGTGGCGTCGTGGCGGACGCCCACGTGCTGCCACGCTTGCGGGCATGCCCCCGGCAGCGCACAGCGGTACCGCCCCGTACCTGCTTGGAAGCACTCGCAGTACTTCTTCAGGCACCCGCTCTTCTTGCAGTTGCACCCCTTGTTGTGCCGCGCACCGCCAGCCCGGCGGTTGTCCGCCTGCGGGGTTAGGGGAGGGAAGGGCAGGCGGGTGGGCGGGAAGGCCAGGAGGCACGCACCCACGGTAGCCAGGCATAGCCCCAGGGTGGCAGATGAGGTTGCGACGCATGCTGCCGGTCTCGAATTAGCAGCGAGGAGGTCAGCCAGGCATGGGCACGGCGGAACAGCAGGCATGCGGGCAGGCAGGCGGGCGCCCTCGCGGGCCACACACCCCGGGCGCAATCTTGGGCCGGAATGCGTTTGGGTTGCGCTCCAGTATCGCCTCCACCGCCGACTGCCGCGTGGCCTCGTGCTCGCGGTTGTTGTAGCAGTTCAGGCAGTTGCAGCCGTCGCAGTAGCGGCCCGAGGCAAAGCACTCACAGTAGCTGCATGCGTGGGGCCAGGTTGGGGCACGGGGAGAGGAGGAGGAGGGAGAGGGGACAAGGGTGGGCGGGAGAGCAAGGGGTGTCACAGCAAAGCTCCCGGCTGCTCATCAGAGCCCAAGCAGTGCAGCGCAGGCGCCGCTGTTGTGTTGGCCCGCAGTACACGCAGCATGCGGGAGGGCATGCGGGAGGGCAGCTACGGGCGAGCGGCGGCGGGCGGCTCACAGCTTGAGGCAGCGCGAGTTCTTGCAGTTGCAATGCTTCTTGCCGGCGGCCGCAGCCGAGGAAGAGCGGCTGCCGGGGCGGCTGCTGGGGCGGCGGGCTGCTGCTGCCGCCGCTGCGGCTGCGGCAGACGGCGAGGGCGCCAATGGCGCCACCGGCTGCGGCACGGCGGGATAGAAGAAGGGCTGGGGCATGCCGGGGCGGGCGGCAAAAGTGAAGGTGCCTGCCGGCCCTGCCATCGGAAGCATGGTGAGGCCTTGATTGCCCTGGATGGCTGCCAGGGCTGGGTGCAGCGCCAGCGCGGGGCGTGCGCCGCCCGCGGCCGCCGCAGGCAGCATCGCCGCTAGCGCTGCCGCCTGCTGCGCGCTGGCGGCCGCCGCCATCTGCTGCGCCGAGGCCGCCGCGGCCACGGCTGCCTGCGCCTGCTGCTGCCCTTGGCTGGGGTTTGGTGCCCCTGCAGCAGTGGAGTTGTGGTGCCAGCAGAGGCCTGATCAGGTGCCGGCAGCAAGCAAGCGACTGGGCGGCGTACAAGAGGAGCTGACAGCGGCTGTGGAAGGAAGGGCGCGGCCGGCTCACCTGCAGCGCCCTGCTGCGGCTGCTGCTGCTGTTGTTGCTGCTGCATCGCGCTCGCTGCCTAAGTCCAGGTCCAGCGGCGCGGTGCCCTGGCGAGGAGAGCTTTGGCCGGCAGATGGGGAGGGTCGCCGCGGTGCAGCTCGGGATGGCACCCGGTGCCACCGATGGCGCTGGCTGAGGGAGGTCACAGGTGGGGGCGGGCTCGCCAGGGCCCCAGGCGCGCCGCTCGCAAGCCTGTGCACGCCGCGATGCCTTCGCTGGGCAAGGAGGCTGCAGAAAAGGATGCCGTAGATGCAGGCGGTTCGTGAGATCAACTTGCGGGCGGCAGCTAGATCGATCGCCAGCAGCCTCATTTGTGTTTTGAGCAGGGCAGCACAGCACGGCCAGTTGCTTCGGCGAAATTGGGCTTGCGTCTGGTCAATTCTTCATCCTTGATCGCTGGTGCTTGCAGCTTTGCGCCAAGGACCTCCGATCGCACCCCGAGCTCCTGCTCCCGCTTCGCCTCCAGCCTCCCCACTGGTGCTGCCGCCGCCTGCGGCGCTTTTGGCCGAGTCCCGGCAGCGAGGAGGGATTGCCGGCAATGGCATCAGTGCGGCAGCTCAATCCCAAGGCCGAAGTGCTGGGGCGCAGCGCTGCGTGCTTCATGAACGTCAATGCCGGTGAGTACGGCGCCAATTGGCGGCCGCCTCACGCGATCACCCGCGCATGTGGCGCCGCGGCGCGCTGCACCTGGCACCCGCAACTGCTGCCGCTCGTGCCTCGGTTGACTGCTGGCCCTGGCTGCTGCCTGCGTCCTGCGCGCTCCCCTGCTGCAGCCAAGGGCCTGTACGACGTGATGAAGACCAACCTGGGCCCCAAGGGCACCATCAAGATGCTGGTCGGCGGCGCGGGAGGTGCGGGCCCCATGCACGTCGCCTGCTCCCGCCGCCGCACGAGGCCTCGTTACCGTGCATGCATGCGGAAGGCCTGCCTCCTCTGACGCTCTGGCCTGCTCTGGCCTGCAGACATTAAGCTGACCAAGGACGGCAACACGCTGCTGCGGGAGATGCAGATCACAAACCCCACGGCAGTCATGATTGCACGCACTGCGGTGGCGCAGGATGAAGTGACGGGGTGAGGCCGGGTGGGAGCGAGGGAGGGATTCCGCATGCCTTTGCTCTGTGTGATTGGCACGCGGCTGGAGGGCAGACACCAGCTTTCACATGCACGGGTGCGTTGAGCTCGATGCGCTGGCCAGCCTGCGAGCCTGCCCCTGCTCCTATCGCGCATGTGCCTGCCTGCCTCCCGCCTGCCATGCAGCGACGGCACCACCACCATGGTGATCCTGATTGGCGAGCTGATGAAGCAGGCGGAGCGGTACATCACCGACGGCCTGCACCCTCGCATCATTGCAGAGGTGGGGTGGGTGGGGCGGCGCGCAGCGCACGCCTGCTCGTTTGTACCGGCATCTGCCAAGATGCGTCGGCGGGTGGATGCCTGCGCCGCGGCGCATGTGCTGCTGCCGCCGCTGCCGCTCCTCATGCTTCATGCTGTTGTTGCTGCTGCCGCGTGATGGCGGTACAGGGGTATGAGATTGCCAAGAAGGACCTGCTGGTGTTCCTGGACAGCTTCAAGGAGGCGGTAGACCCGGCAGACAGGTGGGGGCTGGACTGGCCGGCTGCCAACACGCGACCTGGGCCTGTGTGTGTGGATCGAAGCCAGCCTGCAGGCCGCGCCTACTGCGCCGCCTGTCGCGGCGCCTGCGCCACGGCAGATGTGCAGTCGCGGGCCGCATGGGCCAGGCGGATGCTGCAGCGGGCAGCGGGCCCGCATGTCCCACAATCTCTGCCAACTGCTGCGAAGCGGCGGCGGCCGCCGCCGCCTGTGCAGGGAGACGCTGCGGTGCGTGGCGCGCACAGCGCTGCGCACCAAGCTGCGCGAGGGGCTGGCCGACCAGCTGACCGACATTGTGGTGGACGGCGTGCTGACCATCCTCAAGCCAGACCAGCCCCTGGACCTGCACATGGTGCGGCATCGCTCCCCTGGCGGTACTGCCCCGTACTGCTGCCGCCTCTGGCACCTGTGCTGTGCCGCTGCGGCCCGCCTGGCGCCGCTGCCTCGGCTGCCCCTGGCACTGCCATGCTGCCCCTGGCGCTGCGGCTGCACTGCACACCTGTGGTCCCTTCCTGTGCCTCGCATCCGACCCACCCCGGGAATCCCAACACACACGCACCACCTCGCTGCGCACTCCTCCCGCTGCAGGTGGAGATCATGTGTATGCGCCACAAGCTGGACACAGACACGCGCCTCATACGGTGAGGCAGGGCGCGGCTGCTGGCAAGGGCAGGCCGCTGGCTGTGGTGGTCGCCAGGGGTGGGGCGCAGGGGCCAGCCGCGCAACTTCTGGCAGCTCGTTGGCACACCGCATGCTTTCACCTGCCTGGCGCACCCGCCACCGCTGCGTACTGCGCCGCCCGCCCTCGCCACGCCCCACCTCGCCCTGCCCTGTCCCACCCCGAGCATCCGCGCCCACCCTCCTGCCCACCCTGCAGCGGTTTGGTTTTGGACCATGGCTCGCGCCACCCCGACATGCCCAAGCGCCTGGAGAACTGCCACGTGCTCAACTGCAACGTGTCACTGGAGTACGAGAAGAGCGAGGTGGGCTGAGTGGAGGGGGTGGTGGTGGTGGTGGCGGTGGTGGTGGTGTGTGTGTACGGGTGTTGTTGTTTTGATGATGGATGCATGTGGTGGTGCTGGCGCGGGGATGTGCGCCTGCGCTGCGCCCCCACAAGTACCCCCAGCCAGCCGCCATCCCAGCCAGCCACCGCCACACAGCGGCACCACACCTGCCACCCCACCCTCGCCCCGCCCGTGCACCGCCCGCGCGCCCCGCAGGTCAACGCCGGGTTCTTCTATAGCAGCGCGGAGCAGCGGGAGAAGCTGGTGGCGGCGGAGCGCGCGGTGGTGGACCAGAAGGTGCAGCGCATCATCGAGCTGAAGAAGGAGGTGGGGCCGGGGGTGTGGGCGGGCCAGATCAAGGGAGGGCGAGCCGTCGCCGCGGGGCCGTGCGGGCCAGTGAAGTGGTAGCCTGCTGCTTGGAGGTTCCGTCCGTGCTGCGCATGTCGGCGTACGCGTGGTATGCATGCGGCCAGCATCTGCATACATTTTTAGCATGCCTGCCGCCCTGCTCATGAAAAAACGCTGGCCCTGCCACCACCCCGCCGCCAGGTGTGTGCCGACGGCAGCAGTTTCGTGGTGATCAACCAGAAGGGCATCGACCCCGCCTCGCTCGACTTGCTGGCCAAGGAGGGGATCATGGCGCTGCGGTGAGGGGCCGGGGCCTCCTTGGCAGCCTGAGCAGCTGTTTTGCGGCCTGGCTGGAAGCCGGCTGGCTCGGCCGGCGGGCTGCTTGGCTGGCCGGGTATAAAGTCGGATGCCCGCAGCGCCCACTGGATACCTTGTGCTGCTTCCCACATTCTGCCATACCTGACGGTCGCAGCAGGTGGGACTGACCCTTGGCTGACCCCCCCCCCCTCCCTGTGTGTGCCACGCCGGCTGGCGCAGGCGGGCCAAGAGGCGGAATGCGGAGCGGCTGCAGCTGGCGTGCGGCGGCTTCACAGTGAACAGCAGTGAGTGCCCACGCGGGCGCGCTGCCTTTGTTCGCGAGCCAAGCCACATGCGATGGTGTTTCCTTGAGCCCTGCTGAGCCCCTGCCCTCGTGTGGCCGCGCCCGTGCCCCTAGCTGACCCCTTGCCCCTCCTCCCCCCCTCCCCTGCTCTACCCCGCCAAGCAGTGGAGGAGCTGACTGCCGAGTGCCTGGGCCACGCGGGGCTGGTGTATGAGCATGTGCTGGGCGAGGACAAGTTCACGTTTGTGGAGGATGTGCGGCACCCGCACTCGTGCACCATCCTCATCAAGGGACCCAACGACTACACCATCGCCCAGGTGGGGCGCCGGGTGCCGGGATGTGTGTGCGCGTGCGCGTGTTGTGTGTGTGTGCGCGCATGTGTGTGTGTGTGTGTGTGTATGTGAGAGAGGGAGAGAGACACTGAAGAGCCAGGCATGCAAGGAGCCCCTCGGGTTGCCCATCAGGATGCGGTGCGCCGCTCTGTTTGGGTCGCTCGCTGCAGATCAAGGATGCGGTGCGGGATGGGCTGCGTGCGGTGAAGAACACGATAGAGGATGCGGCGGGTGAGCGCCTCAGGGCAGCTGCGCGTCGCAGGGCTGCTGCAGCGCTGCGGATGAGCGGTGCAGCCCGCTGGCTGCGGCTGCCAGCTGCGTGCCCGTGCCGACGGCAGCCCGCCATGCGCCTGTGCCGCTGTGCCCGCTCGCCTCCCCGCAGTGGTGCCCGGCGGGGGCGCGTTTGAGGTGGCGGCGGCGCACCACCTGCGCACCAAGACGATCAAGGGCGTGGAGGGCCGTGTCAAACTGGGGGTGGAGGCATTTGCAGAGGTGCGTCTGCCTTTGTCCTCGCATCTTGGCCACAGCCGTCGTGAAAACCACACCAGCCAGCCAGCCTGCCTGCCTGCACGTTTGCCTGCACGCCTCCTCACCCGCCACCCCTCGCCTGCGCATCCTGCCCTGCTGCCCTGCCCCGGCCCTGCTCCTGCAGGCGCTGCTGGGGCTGCCCAAGATCCTGGCTGAGAACAGCGGCTACGACCCGCAGGACACAATCATCGCGCTGCAGGTGGGCTTCTACAATCGCAGTTGGGGCAGGGAGGGCAGGGCTTGGGGACGGGAGAGGCTGGGGCGTGCGGCAATGGGGAGGCTTAGTGGGGAGGCTTAGTGGGGCAGGGAGGGCAGAGGAGGTGGGAAATGCTGGGTGGGTTGACAATGTCGAGGCCAGGGAGACGTAGGGTGTTGCAGCCCAGCAAGTGTCGCAGCCGGCATGCAGCCTTGCTGCCCTGCTCACAGCTGGCGCCCTGCTGGTGGCACACTTGTTGCCTGCAGGAGGAGGCTGAGCGGGGCGGGTGCGTGGGGCTGGATGTTGCCACTGGCGAGCCGGCCGACCCGCATCTTGGGGGTGTGCTGGACAATTATGTGGTGAAGAGGCAGATACTGCAGAGGTGGGGCACCTTGCCTGCCATGCATGCTGTGCATGGGTGTGGATCCCGTGCCTGATGTTCTGCACGCCAAGTGGGAAGGACCAGTGCCAGTCGGCAGGGCAGAGGGCCAGGGGTTTGTTGCACCAGGCTGCCTGCATTTCATTCCCTGTGTGCCTGCATCGCCTGCTGCAGTGCACCCGTCGTGGCGAGCCAGCTGCTGCTTGTGGATGAGGTGCTTCGGGCCGGCATGAACATGCGGCGGCAGTGAGAGGCGGCAGCGAGAGAAACAGCGCGCTCTGAAGGGCATGCCTATTGCTTCTCCTCTTAGCCTCCTGCCTTCCGGCAAGCAGCTCTTTAACACAAGTTGCCGAATGACGGCGGATGACAGAGTACAGACCACGGTGCACAGCAGTAGAAAATGAGCATGCTGGATGGTGACGAGCAAAATGGTGGGCGAGGGGCAACAGGTCTACATAGCATGTGCATTGGGCGCTAGGAGAGAGCTACAAGACATCTGGGATATAGGGGCGATGCATGGGTTGTGTGGCGGCTGTCGGCGGCAGCCGTGCCACACCCCTCATGCCAAGCTCTTGCGGTGCGTGCTCAGCACCTGCTGCTGTGCTGGGCCCTTCAGCGCCGCCGCCCAGCCCTCGGCCACCTGTTCTGCACCAGGTGGCACGACCTGCAGCACCCGCCCAGGCACGCGCACCAAGCAGGTCAGATAGTGCAAGGCCAGGGCAAGGCAGTTGGCAGGAGGCCAGGAGGCTTCCTGGGCTAAGCACAAGCCATAAAACGGCTGGCCGCTGTGTACCGCCAGCCTCGCACACCTGGAACTCCACCTTGACACAGAACAGCGCCTCGGTGATCGAGTGGCCGTTGAGGGTGACGTCGTAGAAGCCGGGCGGTGTGATGGCGGGGAACAGCTGGGAGTAGAGCACCTGCAGGCGGCGCCAGACCAAGAATAGCAGGGCATGGGTGCACGGCTAACGCTGTGGCGGGGTTGTGGCGGGAAGCACTGGAGCAGAACGGCATGCAGCCGGCATGCCATCCGAAGCTGGCCGTGGCAGCAGCATGTCCAACTGTCCCGCCCGTGGCAGCAGGCACAGCGCGGCGAAGCACCTGGACGGGCCCCGGCTGCACGGGGCACCCTGCCGCCGTCTTGTCGCACAGGTTGTCCAGCTGAGTCCAGACGGGCATCCCCGCGTAGTGGACAATCATCTGCACCACGCCCATCCTCACCTCCTTGGCTGCAGGCCAGGAAACGTTGGCGGCGGCGGCGGCGGCGGCAGCGACAGGGTGGGTGCAGAGCTGAAGAAGCATGCTGGTGTGGGGACCGAAGTGCTGGCATACCCGCTTCTGCTGTGATTGTGAAGTTGGCCACGTCTCCAGGCTTGACGACAGTCGGAACTAGCTCGACCTCAGACACCTTGAACACCGTTGGCCCTGTGGAGCAGTCGGTCCAGGCGGCGGCCCCCGGAAGCGCCACCGCAGCAAGCAGCAGCGCTGCCGCGGCGAGCAGGCTGGCGCGCTGCCTGCATGGCGGGGTAGGTGGTTGGCGAGCGGCTGAGGAGGGTCAAGTTGAGGCTGCTGCCGCCGCCGGCGACGACGCCG